CTTGAATTCTGTTTACTTCCCAAAACATGTCCTCACAAGAAATCTGGAAGTTGCTATCCTACAAGGAGTAGGAAAATGCTTTTTCTCAGGCTTTGGGATGTGTGCCCTCGGGTATAGAAACTTTACATGGTGGCAGGAGAATCCTAGGTGAGAAGCAAGCCCTGAGCAGCCCTCTTCTTGGGCCAGGCACCTGGAAGCCCTCTCTCAGCCCAGGGTTGGTACTCTGAGTACCAAGAGGCTGCAGAAGCAACCTGGGACTCTGACAGCATCACCCAGACCCAGGCATGAGTGGTGAGTGCAGGCCCCTGTGCGTGCAGGTGCAAGCCCTTACCTTTGGAAGAGCAGGTTGAGGACCTGGTGGGTGGTCATGAACCTGTGGTAGATATTGAAGAATGCAGGCACAAAGAAGGTGTGCCCCCTCTGCTGTGCAGGGACCTTCTGGAATACAATTTTCTTCACCGTGCCTTCATCCATGGTTCTCATAGGGCCAGCAGCAACCACAGAGGGTGCAGATGAGTCAGCTCCTGGGTTCTCTGACTCCAAGACATGTCCTGTTCCCAGGAAGGACATAGGTGACATTTGTTCTAGCTCTGGCTGAAGACTGGTCCTGGCTAATCTGGAGCTGAGGGTGGTATTGTGGTCGAGGGATCCTGCTCAAGCCTTCCCGGTAGTGGGCCTGTTGGGGGAACTTCAGGGACTCCCTTGCTGGGATGCTGCTTCCACTGGTGAACATGACAGCTGGGACTAGGGGCAGACGTATCTGTGGGTGGGGAAGCCGGACTAGCATGCAGAACGAGTTGGCAAGTGTTGGCACCAGGTGTGAGTCATGTCATGGCAGTCACAGAATTCGAGCTGGGATTGGCTGGGGACCCAGGTCACAGATGAGGACCAAGAGACTGTAGGGGGGCCACCACTCACTACCTTGTGCAGTAGAGAGCAGGGTGGTTGCATGGCATGGGCACGACTCAGTAGACACTGGAATCAGTACACTTCAACAAGAAAACTGTATTTATGGATATAAGATAATGCAGGGAAAAGGAAAACCACTAAAGCATATTACAGTAGGGAGAGGGGGTAGGATGGCTCTTGGTAGAGGTGTTGCTGGGAGCTTTTGGGAGCTGTGGTTCTGCCAGAGGCCTATTTGCTACTGCCACAGCTGTTTCAGCCATGGGTGGGACCTGAGGACTGGGTGTAGAAATAGGCACCCAGAGCATACACCTAGCTGATGGGTGTGAATCATATTATGGCAGTCACAGATCTTGAGCTGAGAGCAGGCTGGGACCCAGGTCACAGATGAGGACCAAGAGACTGCAGGGAGGGCAGTAGAGAAGGTAGACATGCAGGGCCAGGTAGGACAGAGGCATGTTAGGCTTACTGTATAGCATTAGCTTGTTCTGCTGTCCTGGCGCTGGGGTTAATGAATGTATGCCAGAAAACAATCCAGTCCAGTTTCTCTGAGGCATCAGAGGGCCCTCGGAAAGGCTTGAATACAGCAGAGTCAGGGATCTGGCATCTCCTGGCCCACAGTCCTCCCTTCCTCCTGTGGGGCTGGTCTCTGGGCAGAGGAGGCTCAAACTCATGTGCAGGGGAGTAGTGGGAACCCCACAAAGAAGTAGACTGTCCCCACTGCACACTGAAGCCTTGAAAAGGAAAGGCATGGGGCAGTGGGTCAGCAGTCTTTTGTGCCAGTGCCAGATTCATCCTGCTTCCTTGGGCTGGGAACTCTGACGCTTCTATCTCCTGCTGAAGACAATGCCCTGGTCCGCAGTCCTCAAGCAGGAATCAGAGAAAATGGGAGCATTAGGGTCACAGGCCTCCCCCCAGCCAGACACACCTCAAGTCCCAGCTGTGCAGATGGCATCATCCGCCGTGTCCCAAAGCATTCTTACTGGCTTGGTCCATCTTCTTCCTCACGGTTTTGCCCCTTATTGAGACCCAGTGGAAGACAGGAGGTGTCACCTGTGTTCTCTTGTGTTGTACCTTCCCAGAGATCTGAGTGTTTGACGGACCCCTGACTGGGAGGACAGGGACATTGGGCTGTGCTCTGCCCTCAAGTGTGCTGAGGTCCTGGACAGTGACCATTGCTCAAGGAGCATTTCCTGGTGTCGTCGTTGAGTGAGGGAACCCATCCAGGCAACTCAACCACTACTGGACAAAGACCACCACCCCTCACCCCCAAACACACACCGGGAACCAGGAAGGAGGACAGGAGAAGAGAGGCCTGAGGCTCAGAGCTGCCTCACATGGTGAACAAAGTCCTAAGTCAGATCCCTGACTAGCCCCCTCCTGCAGGTCAGTCATCTGGAAGCCCTTCCTGAGTCAACTGTAGTAGGTGCACATGGTTCAGGGTCTGGTCCTCTGAGCACCCAGATGTGGCAGCAGTAACCTGAGAGCTTCAAGTTCCAAGGCATCACCTACACCCAGTCAGGAGACCCCGAGTCATCCCCGTGTGTGCAGGTGCAGGTGCTCACCTGGGGATGAGCAGGCGAAACACGCGATGTGTGTTGGTGAACCTGTGCAGGATGTTACCTGTGTGCTGTGCAGGCAACAGCAGGTTCCTGTGCTTCTGTGCTGTACCTGCCTGCAGGATGCCCACATGGCTGGCCATCCGTAAGTTGGTTAGACGTAAGCTGACTAATGGATGTTCTAGTTCCTCAGTGGGTCCGGAGCCTGACTCTGGTATTGGACCCTGCAGGGCTGCAGGGCTGCAGGGCTTCCATGGCAGGAGGATGGACTGCATGTGGTCAGAGATGGTTCCAGTGGCTCTTACTGGGGAGCAGCTGCTGAGGTTGGCAGCAAATGTAAGCAGAGAAATGCACAGGGCACCACAGGAGGAGAAAACATCATCAATGGCACACCTCTTCCCACTTGGTGTGAAAAGACAGAGGGTGGCCCCTTTGCCTTGCAGAGAAGTCCCCGCCCTGGCACACAGTAAGACCACATTCACACTGAGCTGCATTCCTACGGCCTGAGGCTGGTCTTTGATGCCCATTGACACCAGCCTCAGAGCCTGCTCCCAGTGTGGCCTAGCACCCCATAACCTTCCGAGGGTTGACATACCCTGACCAGCCCTCTTCACCCTCAGGCTCACCCTTGCATACATGCTCAGCCACCACTTCCTTGTACTTTTCTTCATGCACTAGAGCTGTCTTCTGCAGGCCACTTGCTGGCCTAACACCAATGCACTTGGTTTTATGTTGGGACCCATCTACCAAAAAGGGAGAAGTCCAGCCCCTCTCTATCCATGGGAAGAGGGTTTGCTTGTTTCTTTCCAGGAACTGATGCACAGCCTGTCATGGTGTTCTTCCATAATATCAATTCCTTGACCTTCTCTACTGGAGGATGCCTCTCCAATAAGACAACTTCAGAACCTTGTCCTGAAAAAAATACGTCACCATCGAGGAGACAACAGAATAGGAGGCAGCAAACTCCCTCCCAACACCAGGTGACATGGGGAATCTTATATGATTGACGAATCAAAACCAGTGTCTACCCTGACCTCCTGATTTATATAAACTCCTAATAGATTAGGGCCAGAGAGAAGTCTCCCTCTTTGAAATGTTTGAGGAATATCTTAAAAATCCTCTGCTAGATCCCAACTCTGTGAAAAACGGGTAGTTTATAAATAGAGGCTCTTATGTACTCTGAACTTTAGGAAAAAGCTATAGAAACTCACAGTGGGACCTGAGAGATCTGACAGCCTCTTAACAGTGGTCACATGGTCTTTTTATCACAGACCAGGAGTAGATCCCATAGCAGAGTATGAATATAAGAAAAGATTTTGTAATCCTGGTTTCAGCACGACCCACGGAAGCATCCCAAGAGCTTTCACTGCAAAAGCAGTAGATTCTTCACCAGGGCTGTTTCAAGAAGGACATCCAGTACCGTGTCCCAACCACCAAAGAGGTCGCTAGGGATTTGACTGCCCTCAAAGACCAAGAACTTTGGAGTCCGTCACTTCTTATTGGGTTTTCCACATGGAACTGAAGCTGCCCAGGATCCTCCACAGACTCCAGTGCCACACCAGACCAGCACCCAGAAGTCCCGTGTGGTTCCCTTGGTGAAGGGAAACATAAAGTTTCCTTCTGTACATGGGAGAGCAGTTTTCTCTGTCCTTAGTTCTAGCTTTGGTCCCCTTTCCTCCTAGAGTGACTATAATGGTCTCTCAGGAGCCCCAGTTTAGTTCATATAAAGACCACTATTCTTATATAAAACATAAATAGAAAGTAAAGAAAAGTTTAGATCCTCCAGGAAAGTTGTTGGCCTATTACTACTCAGCCTGTACTATTGGCTAGATCCCTATGTGGATATTTGCCAGTGTCCCTCTTAAATTTTGCTAGACTCCACTGAGGTAGGATATCCTCACTGCTCTGATGCAGAGTTCATGTCTTTCTCATTTGTTAACTTATTGAGGAGTTATCTGATCATCTACCTAAGACTCTTTTGTTCTCTAATTGCTAATATATGGCTTATTAGAACTGTAGAAGTTTTTAATTGCTTGCCTCTGCCATAAATATATAAAGTTCTGTAAAATCTTGCTAGAGTGCTATATCCTGCTGGGGTATTTTAAATCACAACTAGTTTTAGATATTTCATCAACTACTGTATGACTCATATAAGTCTTTTAACAAGTGCTGTACTATTGTGCTTTATGTTCTAGGATAAATGTTTTTCTTGAGATTCTAGGAGTCAGAACAATTGACTTCAACAAAGAAAAGTCTCCAAGCTCCAATCAATACTTCAGATGACTTCTGCCTTCTATCAGGGACCTCTAGATTGATCCCCTGGAGAATGCCTTGCTGCTGTCCTTGGCCTTTCAACGCCCCTTTTCAGCATGAAGCAGCCAGAGCGGTCATCAGCCCATGTCCCTGACAGCAGCTAGGATCCATTCTCCTGGGGAGGGACATGAGGAGTCAGATGGAATAATAGGCAGTTAGGGTCTCTGGTCCCTGGTGAAGTTACCTTTTTGTTTTAAGGTTTATTTATTTTTTATTACAAAGTCAGATGTACAGAGAGGAGGAGAGACAGAGGGGGCGATCCTCCATCCGATGACTCACTCCTCAAGTGAGCCACAATGGCCAGTGCTGTGCCAATCTGAAGCTGGGAACCAGGAACCTCCTCCAGGTCTCCCACATGGGTGCAGGGACCTAAGGCTTTGCGCCGTCCTCGACTGATTTCCCAGGCCACAAGCAAGGAGCTGGATGGGAAGTGTAGATGCTGGGACTAGAACCGATGCCCAAATGGGATCCTGGCATGTTCGAGGCAAGGATTTTAGCCACCAGGCTACGCCACCAGGCCCAAAGTTACCTTTTAATTTCTACAGTGTGTGGCCTGCTTGGCCCCATATTTGATTCAAAGGTGAGATTTCATCACCTTTACTGCCCTAGATAAGCTTGTGACTTCCTTCAAATAAATGGATATCCCTCACTACCAGTTTGTTTCCAGTGTTCCTGTTCCAGAAGAACACTATTGCCTTGCCCCCTAGTGGTCTTGGGGCCCGTTGGACAGAAGACTCCTGACAGCCTGGGAGGTTAGTATTTAGACTTCCAGCTGCTACAGGGCTGAGGGAGGTGGGACATAGATTTAGAAGAGCCTAGGGCCCAGCACTCTAACCTAGTGACTAAATCCTTACCTTGCATCCACCAGGATCCCAGTGAGTACCAGCTTGTATCCTGACTTCCGCACTTTCCATCCAGCTCCCTGTTTTTGGCCTGGGAAAGCAGTAGAGCATAGCCCAAAACCTCGGGAGACCTGCTTTGGAGACCCAGAAGAAGCTCCTGCCTCATAGCTTCAGATTGGCTCAGCTCCAGCCATTGTGGCCAATTGTGAGATGAACCAATAGTAGGAGATCTTTTTGTTTGTATCTTCTTCTCTCTGTATATCTGCCTTTCCAATAAAAATAAAGTAAAATAAAATAAATATTTTAAACATCTTGAGCCTGGAGAAATTCTTAACTACTCTTGGAAGCAGGAGAAAGGCAAAGAGAGATCCAAGTTTTTCATTTTGATATTTATGAATTTAAAGTATCTGTTTTAAATCTGTTTTAGAAAGCATTCCAGTTTTAATTTAGAGAAGAAGAGGAGTAAGACAGGGCATGCAGTAGAAGTGAACTGTGCAGAGAGGCAGAACCAAGACCAGGTAAAGTAGCTGTCTGAGGTGACCTTGGTCCCAGCTCGACACAGGGACAGCCTGGTGAGGGGAAGAGCAGGGCTTGTGACATTGAGCACCATCACACTGGTACACACCCTCATTCGCTCTTACCATGGATCCTGGTAGCAAGCGGTCTCTAGTCAAGTGGTTCTCATCAGCACTTTCGAAACTTGGCAGTTCTCTAAAACATGAGGACTTTTGAATGTGATAATAACATGGCTCTTGGTGAGATCATCAGTGCCCCTCATTTTGTTTTTTTCTGGCCACGAGAAAGGGTTTTTGATATAAGATCAGTAAACCTGCAGTTTGTGCCTTATGAAATCTTGTGTAAGTCCAGCTGATGTGTATCTCTCCTTTGCATCTTACTGGCTTAGGGACATAATTAAAATACACTCTTTGATCTCCGAATTCTCTCTAAATTTCGTGGTGTCCCCCCAGCTCACTCTTATAGACATATAAACCCAGTCTTATAGACTTAGCCCAGCTCCATTGCTATAACTAAACATGTGAGACTAGGTGATTTCTAAAGAAAAGCAGTATGTGTCTTCTGGTCCTGGAAGTTTGAAAGTCCATGCACATGCTGCTGGCGTCTGGTGAGGGTCTTTCCCCTTCTGCATCACAGCAGGGAGGATAGCCTCACATGGCAAGACAGTAGGACTGCTACTTCAGGTCTCTTCTTCTCCTAAAGATAACGGTAGCATCAGGAATTGCCACCTTCATGACCTCATCTAGTCCCAGACGCTCCACATCTGCATACCATTAGCAGATGACTTTGGAGCTGAGTCTCCAATGCAGGAATTCTGGGAGACATGTTCAGAGTCTAGCACCATTCTAAAATGCAGGCAATGCTTTAAAGCGTAGTTGTATCTGAACAAAGGGGGAAATTTTATTTCCGTTTTGTATGATTACCCTCTTGCTAAGAATTGCTGTATTTAGTAAGTAAAGGCATTTATCTCAGTATTTTGGATTGGGTTCCTCTGAAAGTAAGCCCTGAGATCAGAATTTGCAACAAAGAGTAGAATTGGAAAGTGACTCCAGAAAGTACTATGAGGAAGCAAGGAAGTGAACGAAGGGGAAGAAACCAATGTAGAATACTAAAGAGCAGGTTAACGCTGAGAACAAGTGGGGTTGGATTCTTTTGGGGACCTTTGCCAGAGTATTTCTCATTTATTTTAGAATTTTCAGCCATTTGGCCAGGATTAAGTGAAGAGTTTTCCCACCTAAGGAAGCTGAAGCACTAACTCATCAACCTCCATCTGTCATTGGTTGAGGGCAGCTGCTGGAGGGTATCCACTTCCCAGCAGTTCCAAAATAACCATCTTGCAGGTGAAGAGTGACCAATGACCAGAGAACTGACTCAGAAAAAGAAAGGTGCCAAGCTATCATCTGTTGCAAGGAAAGTTTATCCAAGCTCCAGGTGACTTCTGGGGTGGGCCAGTGGAATGCACCAGGACACCAACATCACTGGCCATGCAAATCATCAGCCCAAATCAGAATCAGCTATTTGAGCCTTCTAGTAACCAAATATTTGTGAAAATAATCACTAAGTTAATGGATAGTCTCAGGACAGAGAAATGGCAGCAGATGTTAGAACAGAAAGCCTGGGCAAAGTAAGGCATAATTCAGTGTCAAGAGAAACTGACAAGCAGAGTAAGAAGATCCCACAGATCAGAGACAAAGGGCAGAAAGTCAGGTGCAAAGCAGATGGAAGGGAAGCTGTAACTGACACTGGCAAGATTGGGGAAGAACTGCAGGTGCATTAGAAGAAAGTGGCCCAGAGTTTTCATTGTTATTTTTCCCTGGAAAGGGACAAAGTCCTTGAAAAAATAAGGAGGGCTTTTTGTACTTGTAGGAGAAGCCCAGTGGCATTTGGGAGAAGGGCTTCCCTTTGTCCTCAGAAGCCCTGTAGAGAAAGGATCAAGGCAGAGTAAAACAAAGGAGCAGCCAAATTCTGGAGGCCTTCAGGAACAGGTTTGGAAGGGAAAGCTGTCCAAGCCTGGGGTGGGGAGCAGGAAGGCGGGGATGGGGGGGCGGGCCGGGATGCTCTTGAGGATAGTTTCCAGAGAGAAGCTTCTGGGGAGTGTGTGGGTGGGGAGATAGGTGCCAGTGGCACAGAGAAGTTAACTGTGAATGCAAAGCTGCTCATCTCCCTTTACCTTGTCATTGTCCCCACACAGCTCTTGCTTAAGGCAAGAGACCAAGTATATTTACCACACAGTCAGCCATCTCAAAACAGATGCCTGGTCTGTAGTGAAATATTCCTTTGGTTGGGATCATCCAATCAGATTGTATCTCATAGGAGTTTAAATTAGATACACAGCTAGTCCAGTTAGGGAAAGGTGAGCACTGTGACTGTAGAATCATTTCCTTCTGCTATCAGCAGGGCACAACAATTGAACACATCTGTGGGATAGAGAGATAAGAGTGAAAATTGGGTAAGGACATCTCAAAGTTCATCTGTCTATAAAATTCATGGTAAATGATCAGAATCAATGTGTTCCAAAATCTGGAAACATGTAGAGTTTCTGACAGCATTTAGTCAGGAAATCTGGATGCATCTTGGTAAGAACAGTGAGCCGCGGTATCCTTAGGTTGCTCTCATCCTATGCCTTCTTCTTCAGTTTGGTGATGGCTCTGAAAAACAACAGCCTGCTGGCAGGAGAATCAGCATGGGCTTCATTTCTAAATGGTTGCCTTAATTGATCTCCCAGCTCTTTGCAAGAGCACACTCTGAAGGCATTCCTGTTTCATCTCACTCCAACTCATCTAACAGTTAGACATTTTTGGAGGAGGGGGTATGGAAAGATGGTGACAATTGTCAAATATTTTTGACAGCCCAATTGATTGAGGCAACAGACAACTTGGAGAAACAATAGATGAACCTACAAAACAAACAGACAAGCAAGCAGCTAAAGGAAAAGGGTCTTGATGTTTAAAAAGCTCCAAGATTTTCTTGGGAATCTGGAAGTGACACGCATGCCCAGCATACTCCAGAAAAATCTGAGAAATCACCAAGATCTCTCTGAAAACTGACCTGGATGTTCTACCCAGGCAGGAAATGAAAACTTCCACTTCCTAAATGACTGCAACAGCCAGGGCTGAGCCAGGTCAAAACCAGGAGCCCGGCATTCCATGTGAGTTTCTCACGGGAGTGGCAGAGACCCAAGTACTCGGGCCACCTTCTGCTGCTTCCTTGGGCGCATTAACAGGGAGCTGTATCAGAATCAGAGCAGCCAGAACTTAAACTGGCACCATTATATAGGGTGACATCTTAACTCACTCTGCCACAACACTGGCTCCTTCTTCACAGAAAAAAAAAATCATTACCCAACTGTATTATGCTGCACTCAAGAGGTACACTTAAGGTTCAAAGGTAGAAATAGAAAGTAAAGGATGAAGAAGGTTGGTGGGGAGGGTTGGTGGAATACTCCATGAAGATGGAAACCTTCCCGGACTAGGAAGACCATAGGCATGTCTATTCTAGCGGCTTCTGTTCAGCATTGTTCTGGGACTTTTAGATAAGGCACTTAGGCAATAAAAAGGAAATAAAGGCTTCCATGTTAAAATGAAGAAGCAAGATAATTCTACTTATAATACCTAAACAATCCACACCAAAAATTAGTTCAGCTGGGTTGCAGAATAAGAGACAAAAAAAAAAAAATACAAAATTGATTGTATTTCTACACATTGTCAGGATTAATCCAAAAGTGAAATTAAAGCTATAGTTCATTTAAAATAATCTTAACAAGAATGTAACCAGAGTAAGTTTAACCAAAGAAGTGCAAGATTTATACACTGAATATCACAAAATACTACTTAAATAAATAAGCCCTAAGTAAACAGGAAGACACCCCATGTTTATTGATTAGAAGATTAAGTC